AAGGATCCCAGGGATCCCAAGGATTCCTAATCTTCCAGCAAAACCGACCTGGGGATCCACCAGCGATCCCGCGCTCAGAATCCCTGGGTCCTGAGCCTTCGCAGGGATCGCGGACCGCCGTGGTCAGCAAACCATTATGACTGTCTAGGGTTCCCAGGAATTCCAGCGAAGATTTGGAGGGTTAGGAATCCCTGGGATCCCTGGGATCTGAGCCTGCACAGGGAATGGTGACGTCGCATCCCTCCCTGGAATCCCTTGGATCCTTGAGCCCTGCTCAGGGTCGTGACTTCGATCCCTGGAATCCTTGGATCCCTGAAAATCATATGGTTTGCTGACAACCGACGTCGCGATCCCTGTGCGGGCTCAGGGATCCCAGGGATTCTGAGCGCGGGATCGCTGGTGGATCCCCAGGTCCGTTTTGCTGGAGGGTTTGGAATCCGTGGGATCCCTGGGATCCCTGAGCCTGCACAAGGATCGTGACTTCGCATCCCTGGAATCCCTGGGATCCCTGAGCCTGCTCAGGGATCGTGACTTGGCATCCCTGGAATCCCTGGGATCCCTGAGACATCATATGGTTTGCCGACCACCGACGTCGCGATCCCTGAACAGGCTCAGGGATCCCAGGGATTCTGAGCGCGGGATCGCTGGTGGATCCCCAGGTCGGTTTTGCTGGAGGATTAGGAATCCCTGGGACCCATTGGACCCCTGAGCCTGCACAGGGATCGTGACTTCGCATCCCTGGAATCCCTGGGGTCCCTGAGCCTGCTCAGGGACCGTGACTTGCCATCCTTGGAATCCCTGGGATCCCTGAGAAATCACATGGTTGGCTGACAACCGACGTCGCGATCCCTGAGCAGGCTCAGGGATCCCAGGGAGTCTGAATGCGGGATCGCTGGTGGATCCCCAGGTCGGTTTTGCTGGAGGGTTAGGAATCCCTGGGATCCCTGGGATCCCTGAGCCTGCACAGGGATCGTGACTTCGCATCCCTGGAAGCCCTGGGGTCCCTGAGCCTGCTCAGGGATCGTGACTTCGCATCCCTGGAATCCCTGGGATCCCAGAGCCTGCACAGCGATCGTCACTTAGCATCCCTGTGCATCCCTGGAATGCCTGAGAAATCATATGGTTCGCTTATCGTTCTTGTTAGCGCTGCCGCTGATATCTTATACCTGTTCTCCCAAAGGCGGGGGAAGCGGACGCTTGCATCTTCTGAGGTTGCGGTTGCGTTAGAAAAAGCATTCCGCCTGCAACACGTGACTCGGGAAGAGGAACGGAAAGGAGCAGGGATGATGAGAAGAGGATGCGTCTCCAGCTTCGTGGAAGAGGGAGAAGGCGTAGAGTGGGTGCTGGGGGGGGGGCTGTATATACACGTGTATCCTCTCACTCTCTCTCTCTCTCTCTCTGCCTCCTGCCTTTATCCTATGCGGATGATAGTTGCGGCCAGAGCTCGGCCAAGCTATCCGATTATGTGTTCCCGCAGCCGGTGTGAAAACACCTCGGGGGACACGAGGGGGAAAAAGAAGAGGAGGAGAGGAGGGAACAAGGATGATGTTGCTGATGATGAGGAGGAGGGGGGGAGGAGGAGGAGAAGGAGGAGGACGAGGACGAGGAGGAGGGAAAGGCCTTTTGGGAGGCTCTCGGGGCACTCTTGTTGCCTCCTGGGTGCCTCTTGGGGACCCTTGGAGCCTCGTTGGGAGGCTCTCTGGCGTCTGAGGGCGTTTCTGGCCCGTCTGACGGCCTCTCTTGGCCGACTTGGGGCTCTCTTGGGGCGCTTCAGGGCCATCCTCGAGACCATCTTGGGCGTCTTGCAGGTCTCCTGGGCCGTCTTAGGGCCATCTTGGACTCGTTTGGGGGGCCTCTTGGGTGCTAAACATGAGAAAACCAGAATCTCCAAATAACATAAAGACACGTATTGCTCATTGAGTTTGACCTCTTCGGGCCTTCCTGGAGGACCTCTTGGCTCTTGGGGGCCTCTCGGGCCGTCTTGGGAAATCTTGAGGCCACCTTAGGCCTTCTTGGCTGCATTTAGAGACGTCTTGGGGGCCAGCTTGAGCGTCTTGGGGGCTTCTTCGGCCGTCTGTGGGTCCTCTTGGGACCGGCTTGGGGACCTCTTGTGCCGTCATGTGGCCATCTTGGAGGCTTTTGGGTGCTCTTGGGGCGACCTTTGGGACCTCTTGTGGCGTCGGAAGACCAACAATGAGTACCTGCTACAATCTTGCAGAACAACCCTCGGAAATTTGAGGATGTTGGCCTCCTCAGGCCTTCCTGGAACACCTCTTGGAGGCTCCTTGGGGGCCTCTTGGGGCCTTTTGGGGGCCTCTTGGGCCGCCTTGGGCCATCCAGAGGCCAACTTAGGCTGTCTTGGCTGCAACTTCGTCCACTTTGGAGACATGTTGCTGCCATCTGGGGCTCTCTTGGAGCGCTGAAGAGCCGTGTTGGAGTCCATCTTGCACGTATTGGACGCCTCCTGGTGCGTCGTGGGGCCCTCTTGGGGCAGTCTTGGGGGCCTCTTGGGCCGTCGTGGGGCCATCTTGGAGACTCTTGGGCGCTCTTTGGGGCCTGTGGGCCGTCTTGGGCCGTCGGAAGGCCATTTTAAAACAAAAGCTAAAGTTCAACAAAACCCTAAGGACAATCAATGATTTTGGCCTCTGCGGGCCTTCCCGGAGGACCTCCTGGAGGGCCCTCGGGCCGTCTCTTGGGGGCTTCTTGGGCCGTCTTGAGTTCTTTTGGACCATCTGGGCGGTCTTGGAGGCCATCTCGGGGCTAGCTCGGGCTCTCTTAGCGCCATCTTGGCTGACTGGGGGGCCATCTTGGCCGTCTTGGAGGCCACCTTGAAGCCATACTGCGAAGGCCCAACGGCCGGTGCTGCCGACCCTGAGGGCGGGACCTCCCCCGGGATCCCTCTGGCGACCCACCCCAGGACCCACGCGCCCGCGGGGACCCACGGGAGGGGGGGCGGCACTCTGACCCGGGACCACGCCCGCCCACCACGGCGGGACCTCCCCCGGCACCCCTGCCAGCGCGCCCCCCTCCCGCCCCGGAGACCCGCCGGGACCCCAGGGGAGGGCGGCAGTCTGACCCGGGACCCCCTTTCACCCCCCCGACCGCGTACCCGCCCCCAACCCCTTGCCCCACCCCCCGCCGTCAGCGGAGGGAAGAAGGGAAGGGAATCGATCATCAAATTGCGATGCTTGTTTTCCTCGTGTCGGAATTTCCTGGGGACCGACGACGACGACGACAACGACGACAACGGCGACAACAACGACAACGACGACGACGACTCAAATGGAAATTCGTCTCCTACACGCCGAAAGGTCGGCGGAAGAAGCGAAGAAGCCCGAACAATGCGCTCCTGCCCTGTGGAAAAGTCACGCGGGGAGCCGCAAGGAGCGCCCAGGAGCGCCCAGCAGAGCCCAGAGTTCGAGGCGGTGGGGGCCTCCCTACGCACAAGGTTCAGTACAGAGAGCTCGCAGGGACGCAATTCGTGCATCAGCGCAAGTTAGCAGGTGTTCTATATACACATAGATCTATACACAAACCTATAAAGGTATATATATGTATATATGTACACATATGCATGCATATGCATACACATGTATAGTGCCCGCTCGCATTGCATCTCTGTTTCTCTCTCGCTCGCTCGCTCTCGCTCTTTTTTTGTTCTCTCTCTCTCTCTTTCTCTCTTTTCTCGCTCTCTCTCTCTCTCGGCTTAGATATGCATACACATGACTATCCTCCCACCATCCTCCTTCCTCGTCCACCCCGTCTTCATCCTTCCCCTCCGCCCCGTTTTTCTCACTCACCCTCCTCCTTCCTTCTTCCTCCTTCGACCTTCACTCTGTCCTCGTCCTCCCTCCTCCGCCCCGTCTTTCCTCATTCATTCTGACCCTGCCTGACCTCCTCCTGCTCCTCCTCCTCCTCCTCTTCTCCCCTCCTCTCCTCTCCTCCTAACAGTCCTCTCCTCCTCCTCTCTCCTCCTCTTCTCCTCTCCGCTTCTTGTGGCTCAGCCCTCCTCTTCTCTCCTCTCTCCTTTTGTGGCTCAGCCCTCCTCCTCTTCTCCTCTCCTCTCCTCCTAACAGTCCTCCTCGTCCGCCGCCTCCTGCCTCGCCCTCCTCCTCGGCCTCGTCTCCAGGGGCAGCCAGCGAGGTCGGAAACTCCCCCCCCTGAGGGAAGGGGGAAGCAGTGAGACGTAGGGGCAGGATGAGGACTAATTGGAGAAGGAACAGGGATCCCGATGAGATTGATGATGACCGGGATTGTGATGGTGATTGCGATGGTAGCGTATCTGACGAAGATGAATTTGACAAGTCTGACGAAGAATAAGAAGAAGAAAAATAATATGATGATGATGATGGTGATGATGATGATGATGATGATGATGATGATGATGATGATGATGATGAGGATGATGATGATGATGGTGGTGGTGGTGGTGGTGGTGATGATGATGATGATGGTGGTGGTGGTGGTGGTGGTGGTGGTGATGTTGTTTTGTTGATGATGATGAGGATGAATGATGACGATGATGATGATGTGATGATGAGGATGATGATGATGAGATGGTGGTGGTGGTGGTGGTGGTGGTGGTGGTGATGGTGATGGTGATGACGATGATATGGAGGAGGAGGAGGAGGGAGAGGAAGGAGAGGAGGAGGAGGAGGTAGATGAGGGGAGAGAGGGAAGGAAGGAGATAGGAATGAGGAGGACGCTGGAGGTGAAGCACGAGCGGTCGGAGGCGCCGGGGAGAAGGGGGAGAGGATGGGTTTGCAGCCGCTGCAGTCCAGCTTCGAGGAGGATGAGGAGGAGGAGGAAAAGGAAAGAGGAGGATGACAAGCGACGAAGGAGGGGGGGGAACAAAGAAGGAAGGGAGGAGGAGGCAATTGTGGGAAGTAGGGGAGGAGGAAGGCCGAAGGGGATGGAGGGAGGGAGGGAGGGAGGGAGGGAGGAGGAGGAGGAGGAGGAGGAGGGAGGAGGAGGAGGAGGAGGCTGGCCGAGCCTCCGAG